AGCCCGGCGAGCAATGCGACTGCGGCTTGCCCGCCCACTGCGAGAACAGCTGCTGCAATGCGCACACCTGCATGCTGCACAGCAACGCTTCGTGCGCCACCGGCGAGTGCTGTGACCTGAAGACATGCCGACCCAAGCTGGCGGGCAGTGCCTGCCGTCCGGAGGAGAACGAGTGCGATTTGCCCGAGTACTGTACCGGCGAGTCGGAGTATTGTCCGACGGATGTGTTTAGACGTGACACGGAGCCATGCGATAATAATCAAGCTTACTGTTTTCTGGGCACCTGCCGCTCCCATGCCAACCAGTGCCGCATCCTATGGGGACCCACGGGCGAGAACTCTATACACTGCTACGGCAAGAATGTGGAGGGCACCCGCCTGGGCAACTGTGGCTACAATCGGCTGAACAAGACTTTCGTGAAGTGCACGCCGCAGCATGCGAACTGTGGCATGTTGCACTGCATCCATCTGAACGAGCGCCTGGAGTTTGGCATGGAATCGGCAGCGGTGCTATCCCATTCCTATGTCAGTCACGGTCATGGTCTTGTCCCCTGCCGCACGGCTCTGGTCGATCTTGGTCTGCAAACCATCGATCCAGGTTTGACGCCGAACGGCGCCAAGTGCGGTGACCAGAGCATGTGCGTCAATCAGCAGTGCCTGGCCGTGGAGCGTGTGCGACAGATGGGCATGGGTTCGCCCTGTCCCGAAAACTGCAACGACAATGGTATCTGCAATAGTCGAGGACATTGCCACTGCGATGTGGGCTTCGGGGGAGAGGCATGCAGCAAGCCCGGGCATGGTGGTTCTGTGGACAGCGGACCAGCCACAGATCCGAGCAGTAAGTGTTGTCAGATCTTTTCTAAAGCCTTGAGATTACTTTCTTCAATAATTGCAACAATATTTGTCTTTAATTTCTTTTCTTGCAGGCGCCCTTAGCTTCCAGCGTTTCCTGGGCATCCTGTTCTTCTTGGTGTTGCCGCTGTTGTTCCTCTTCTGGGTGTTCTATCGATTTGTGTTCCGGAACAATAAACTCTTCGCCGGTGGAAAACTTGCTGAGAATATGTATGTATCGACGTCCGTGTCTAGTAGTAATAGCAGCAGCAGAAGCAGCAGCAGCAGCAGTGGCGTCTGCTGCGCCGCCGCCGTTTCCTTCTGCTCCACAGCTAGCTCACCCACAACCACTAGTTCTACGTCTGCACACGCTCCTCCACTACCAATGCACGCACCACCACCATCACACTATGCTAAAACACAAACTAATCACACTGCAACCGCCACAATTACTAACATACACGCCACCCTGCCGCGTCTTAAGTCCAATCCCGGCACACTTGCTGCAGTGCATCCGCCTGCCATGCCCAAGAGCCAAAGCAACTACGAGGTGCTGCATGCGCCTCTATTGCGGCGCAAGCTCTCCAATGCACAACTTACTCCAGTGGCAGCCGCACCACCGCCACCGCCACCGCCAGTGCCAGCGCACAGCAACAACAACAACAACAACAACAACAACAATAGCAACAATAGCAACAAATCAAACATAATGCGACGCAAGCTGGACATCACGGCGCCGCGTCTGCATGCAACCACAAATCCTTTGGCGCTCACCGAGGGCGCCCAATACATACAGAGCGACCCCGCGAGGTGTGCCAAAAACTAACAATAATAACAACAACAATTACAACAACAACAATTACACTGCCAAAAATATTTGCATACTTGCGGCATGTGAAGCGTGTTCCTTTTACTTTCCATTTTGAAGCACCTTTTCCCCATTTTTATTTGTGTTCGTTTAACCTACTTTAAAACTGATGTGTTTGTGCCTTAATTTTAGTTAGTTATAAGTGTTCATTTTAAATAAATATTTGGTTTTAGTATAATGGCTTGGTGTTGGATACTATGTTAACATTTGTTATGCTCTATAATGTTAAAATTCCCATATGTTACTAGAAAAACAGCTTATTAATCATTAAGAATAATTCGATTTATCAATGTTAGGTATTTTAAAATAACCTGAAGTGCAAATAATTGTATTATTTTTTATGCCATTTATTTTATATTTTATATTCAATTTAGCTGCATTTGTTTAAGCTCTTGCTAATAATTTAAAAGTCAGTTGTAAATCTAGTAGCATATGGGTTTTTATATCTTTCTGCTGTTAAGTCGCTGTTAGCTGCATGTTAACAGCGTGCGCATGTTATCTACTCTCTGTTAATTTTCTTTAGCCTTTGCTTTTGGTGTTGGTTTGTCATTTTGCCTGCCCTCTTTGACTTTGCACTGATTTCTGTTGGTATGTTATATAAATGCAATATATATCTATATATCCCGCATACTATGCTTGTCTTTCCTGCTAATATGCCTTTTGTTTATTTGCAGCTTGAAAACCGCGAGCAATCAGAAACAGCCCACAACGCGCTCCAATCAGAATGGCACAGGTCCGCCTGCAGGCGGTGCCAATGGATTGCCAAAGTCCACGCCCAGCAGCACGGATGACATGAACTCGGCGCTGCTGAAGTCGCCCAGCGATTCGAGCGATGCCGCTCCAGCCAGCAATACTCCAGGCATGTTTGGCAAGTTTAAGGGTTTCACATTGCGTCCGCTGAACAATGCCAGCTCGCCGGCGAGTAATTACAGTGGACCCAATGTGGCCTTTGTGCAGCCCACGGTGCAGCAGGAGAACAACGGGGTGCCACAGCGCGCTGCACCGCCTCCGCCAGCGGTCAAGCTAGAGGAACAGGATGCCACAAAGAGCAGAAGTACTTTGCCAAGAGCCGCACCCGCGCTGCCACCACCCAATCCCGGCTCCACAGCGCGTCCCATCATATCCAAACCGAAACTGGATTCCAGCACACTGACTATGGTGCCGCTAAAGGGCGGAGATGGAGATCTTTCACCCATACGTGCGGCGCCCACTCCGCCAGCGCCGCCCGTGCCGCTGCACGCAGATCCCAAGCTGAACATTAAACGGGACGGCACCATACGCCGCTTCGCCTCGTTTCTGAAGAAGGAGGAGAAGCCGCCGCTCAAGGAAAAGACGTACATTGATCGTGAGCGACTGCGCACTCTAGAGATATCCGCACCGATGCCTGTGCCGTTGCCGCTGCAGGCAGAGTCCTCCAACTCGGACTCGGAGACGACACCACGCGAGGAGGAGACCAAGAATTTAGTGAAGCGCACGCAGTCCATGCGGTCGCCAACCAAAAAGACGCAGATGCAGACCTTCGGCTCGATGCGTTCGCCGCCTGGCGCAGCACGTCCCAAGAGCTCAGTGAATACCGGTGGTGCCGCCACAGCAGCCAGTTCGCGACCCAAATCGCCACCACCGCGTCCGCCGCCGGTTGTGAAGAAAACCAATTCAACAACTTCATCGGGCTATCAGCTGCCGGTGGCCACAGCTAAAACGACCGCCGAGAATGCCTACGACGATTGCGAGTGCGTGGAGTCGCCAATGCGCGCCTCCAGCGATGCCATCTACTCGGTGATTGAGGAGATACCGCCGGCAGCGCAGACCTTAAAGCGCAGCGATCTGGTGGCCAGCCTGGCCAGCAATGTCAGCGCCGGCGACATGGGCTTGCTGGGCGAGATTGTCAACGAGTTTGAGAAACTCAATGGCGGCGATTCCATCTACTCGGGCAAAGTCAACACACAGCCAGCAGATGCACCAGTAGACGAGCAGCCTGAAACGCCGCGTAGTCCAAAGCGTCCAGCACCACCGAAGCCCGCGGGCAGCAACAGAAACAGCAGCTCGGCCAGTGCAGAGGATAAGCCAGCTGTTACGCCCACATATCTGCGTGCACCGCCCATAAATGCGCCAGTGGCGCGCGTGGCGCCAACACGCTCAGACATCTCGCCATCGCGAGCCTTTTCCAGCTTCAAGCCAGCGCCAGTTCCCGCGAATGCAGCCAACGGATCCAGCAGCAACAGCAGCAGCAGCAGCAGCAAAGCATCTGCAGCTCCAGCGGTTCATCAGCCGCGCGGCAGCGGCAGCACAGCGCGACCCAAGTCCTTTACAAAGGCAACCAAAGCACTGCCCAATGGCGTAGCAGCCGCTCCCTCGGCCACCATACAGAAGCCCAAGCCGCTCTCGGCGAAGCCATCGTTTAGCGGCGGCGGCGGCGGCGGCCTGGGAAAGCGTGTGCCGGGCGGCTCGAAAACAGCTACGGCAGCAGCCGCGCCCACGCCACCCACGGTGAAGGCGTCAGCGAATATTGCGTCGCTGACGCAGCGTTTCGAGCAGCGAAAGTAGATAACGCTAACTACAACCTATGACTTTATATATTGTAAGTTAGGTTAGGTACGATCAAAATATCATTTGGCGCCGATTACCGAGTCAACGATGCCAGTTTCCCAAAAAGTCGTTGATATTCATTCCTTTTTAGATATCCCTCTAGCTAGGTCTAAGGCGTTGATTAATTTACGTGCTTTTAAGTATCTCAATGACTTTGTTGTAAGCTTATTGTACGAAATTGTATTGATATATAGTATATATTATATGCATACTCATCATATTTATATGTATGTAAGGTTGTTTATATATCTGTGTATGCTAATTGCTTTTGTAAATAAAAACCAAAGAAGTCAAATTGTCACAACAGAAATTGCGCAGCTAACGAAAAAAAGAAATTAATTTAAAATAGTCCACGGTACTCTTAAATTTAATGTTATGATGTTGTACAGTTGTAAAGCGCACTTGCGATATTTCAAAACGAATAAAGAACAAATTAATTCGATTCCAATACAAATATTCCCATAATTGCTTACGTTGTTAAATTTAATTTAGTTACAACGAAAAACTTTTGAGCTTGGTTTAAATAATTTCCGTTAAGTATTTTGGTGCTGGGCAGCACTGTCAGTGTACGCGAATTCGCCGCACCACCTCTCGCTGTCTAGTGGTGGACAAAAATGATTACAGCAGTGCCTTGAACATTATCGCACAAACATCGATGTGCACTTTTCATGTTATTTCATACTTCAAGTAATCGAAATGCGGTGATATCGATAACAGTCATTAAAATGAGCGCAAAAAGGGTAAACAATTTTATTATTACTTGTAAAATAGAATTATATACAAATAAATTGTACACAGAAACCATGGGTGAAGTCTGCCTTCAGCGAGTTAAACATGACAGAAAAGGCCAGCCCCGCTGCGACGTCCGTAAAACGCACAAGAAGCGCCAGTGCCGCAGCAGCTGCGAAATCGGGAAGCCAAAATACAAATTGCACGCCCACAACGGATGCAGTGGTAGATTTAACTCTCAAAGAGGACGAAAAGGAGGGTCCGACGCCAACAGTCAGTGACAATTGGATGGAGGGTTTTGCGCCTGCTACAAGTGACGATCTGGCTGTGCACCCCAAGAAAGTCGGCGACGTGCGCAACTGGTTGCAGCACTGCGAGGCCATGCGCAAGAAGCATCCAGCACAAATTTGTCTGCTTACCGGGCCAGCTGGTTGTGGTAAAACGGCAACGCTTCGAGTACTCGCTCAAGAATTTGGCTACGAGCTACAGGAATGGATCAATCCCACTGACTGTGAGGAAATTAATGCGCTGGGCGATCAACCTAATGAGGGTTCCTATATGGGCTCCCAGCTGGTGGCCTTCAAGAGCTTTCTGTTGCGGGCCTCGCGCTACAAGTCCTTGCTGACGACACAGAACAAACGTCTGCTACTAGTTGAAGACTTTCCCAATGTGCTGCTAAAGGATGCAACAGCTACTTTTGAAGATTTGCTTGAGTAAGTTACGTATAAACTATAAATCCCTTATAACACAAGGTCTTTTATAGTGAGTATGTCAACTATGGCAAGTCGCCGCTGGTCTTCATTGTAGCTGACAGCAGATCACGCGCCCTCAACATCAGTTACAAGCTGTTCACGGATCAACTGAAGGCCAAGCTGCGCATTGAACACATTAGCTTTAATTCCATAGCGGCGACTATTATGCAAAAGTCAATGAAACGCTTCGCCACGATGATGCAGCAGCAGCAGCACAAGGCCCTGTACAAGGTGCCAACACAAACTGTGTTGGATTCGATTGTGGTGTGCGCCCAGGGCGACATACGCAATGCGTTAATAAATCTACACTTTGGCTCGCTTAAGGGTGCGCCCAGCATGGCCACCAAGCAGCTGAATGTGACCGCTACAAGCAAAGGTCGCAAACGGAAAGCAACGAACACTTTAAAGTCCATTGGACGGGATGAGTCCATAACCATGATGCATGCACTCGGTCGCGTCTTCAATCCCAAATGTAATGTACACAATCCGAAGGCTTATTAACGTTTAGTAACGCTTTTCTCCTACAGATAATGAGGATAATGACAAGTGTCTGCTACATAGTCCCGAAGAAATAGCTGAGGCCTTCAGCATTGAGCCGAGGAACTTTATTAACTTCGTACATGCCAACTACCTGCCGCATTTTCATGACGTTGCCAATGTCAATGCTGCTGTCAACGATATTGGACTGGCTGACATGCTGCTCCAAGAATACCGGGACGATTCTCTGTCCTTGGTGGGCCTCACTATTGCCGTGCGTGGCTGCATGGTGGCCAATGTGGCACCGGTCTCTGGCTGGATGCCTGTACGCGGGCCCAAGCGTTTAACGATTCAACCACAGTTGACGCCAGCGGAGCAAAAGCTGCTGGGCGTAGCATATGCTGGGATTTCCAAACGCCTCTACGCCAGTGAGTACAGCTCCTTTGTCAAAACCATAGCCAAATAAACAAACTAGGCAAATTTATTTATAACTATTATGTAACGTTTTAGACAAACCATGAAGTCTGCATATTTATAAAGAAAAAAATTCCGTCAATTCAGTATTACAATTCAACGTTTTATTCAGTGACAAATCGGTTGTTTTCTATACAAAGTTCAATTATTTTCTTAATTTCGAATTTAAATTTAACGCGTGACTTATTAAAAGCAATTTTGGCAGATTTTTGTGGTTATAAAGCGTAGCACGAACTTGTTCAGTAAAAGTAACTTCAATTATCTTCTTTCAGCGTTTATATTAAATAATTCAATGATGTTTTTTTTTTTTTGTAATGCTTAGAGCTACAACTTAGGGTTTAAAAACGACTTAAAAGTAAACGCAGTTTCGCTAAATCATGTAACACAAGTACTGTCAGCTATTTACATGGCTAGGGTAACAGGGCATCAGTTTATTCGGGTTCTCCAGCGACTGCATCGTTATTCTTGGCATCCTCACTGGAGTTGTCATCCTCTTCCATGCGGCTGGCGTCCAGGAGAAGCAAGCGCTCCTCCTCATTAGCATGACCGTTTAGCTGAGCATCAATCTGCAGTGCGGGTGAGCCCGAATGGCTGCGACTATGTCGGTGCACGCTGCGCTCCGCATGACCATTGGCAATATTTAAGCCTGCCACGCCCATCTCATGGCCTTCGCTGCTCGATGATGAACTGGACGTGGTGGTAGATGTTGAGCTACTGCTATCACTCTCACTATCCTCGCTGGAAGAGTCCATTGGCGTGGGTTGTAGGGGGTGTTGACGTGCCTGCAACTCGCAAACTGCACTGGCTGTGGGTGCGGCAGCTGAAGGGGGTGATGCCGCCGCGGCGGCTGCTGCGGTTATAGTTGGCGAGCACGAGCGTATAATGTTTAATCTAAGTACTAAGCGTAAACATTTGTTTAGTTTGAATGGTGAAAAATTGCTAATACAATAACTAACTTTGATTCTCGCGCGTTAATTCCCGTATCTTTTCCTCGAGTGCTCGTATTTTGGCGCCGAACTCCTTTGAGATATTTTGCGCATTCAAGCTCTGCTGACGCTGTCTGCCTTGGTCCTTCGAGTATCGATCCTCGATTTGTAGACATTCCTGTATGAGCTCCTGTTTGTTCATCGTTTCCAATCGCTCAACACGCGCACGCTCGTAAACGTTTGAGAATTCCTTCGAGAGAAACAATTCCTGATCCTCGGTCTGAGAGCCAAAGCAATTATCATCGAAGTCGTCTTTGGGCAACTCGGACATATGCTCCTCCATCAAAAAGCGATTGGTGTTGTAGGGCACAAGCAGCGAACGAGAACGCACCAACTTGGTGCGGGCACTGCTGCTGCCACTGCTAGATGCGCCATTCCCGGCTGACGTTGTCACCAGATCCATTTTCCATGGCGGATACTGATTTTTCGTCTTTTTGGGTAACAGTTTTGATTTTTTGCCGCGCCGATGCTTGCGCCTTTGGGATGCACCGGACTGGGCACTTTCTACAATATAAAAGAACGCAGATTTGTTGCATTTCATTTAAGTGCTTGTAACGGCCGTCAATCGATTGCAATTGTGCAACACTGCGAGTGCAAGCAACAGCAGCAACAGAAACCTATCGATGTCGACCAATAAGATAGTCGCCATTGTCGCTTGCATACGCACGAATGGAAATTTTGTTTCCATGTCTTTGCGCCCAATTTTTACCTGTTTTTGCAGCTTCTGCCATTAGAAATTCACGCACGGAGTACTTGATGTCCGAATAGAGCACAGTTAAATGTAATTTCACAAATAAAACACTTAGGAAATATAATTTAAGACCTGGGCTCAGAGCGAGAGCAGCGCGTATAAAAGAGGAATGGCTAAAAACATTGTACATATCGATAATTGCAGCTAAGTTAAATCGATATTAAGGGTTGTCACATACCGATGCTTATCAATTTTAATCGTATAAGCTGCCTGCACAATTTAAATCCTTGCTATAAATTTAAAAACTAATGTTATGTAAGTAGAAAATATAAATTGTTTTTATTTGTATGCAAAAACAATAACATAACTTGCACTGTCAAAAATAAAATAAGATTGTTTAGGCCTTCAGATTGCCATGTATCCAATCAATGTAAGAGGCTACACGTGTATAAATATCTGGCCAGCCAGGACTTGGACACGGTACAGGGCCAAAAGACAATATGCCACCAAGAAGATACGCATTATTCTTGAACAGCATCAGCGGTCCGCCGGAGTTGCCGCGGCACTCATTGGCATTGGCGGCACCGCACAATTGGGAAGCCACAATGTGTACATTTTGAGCAGCATATAGTTTCTGACAATCTTCGATGGATGTGATGATAACTTCACTTTTTTGCATGCGCGAACTGGAGGTGGCTTGCCATCCGGCCACATCCACCACTAACTCCTCCAGTTCATCGGCGCGCAATTGCTTGTTGGGCAGGCAAATGGGCTGCACATACTCGCTAAACTGTACCCGATCCCCCAAGCGTATCATTGCAATGTCATTCGTTTGACTAGTGACGTCCTTGTTATAGTTTGTATGAACAATGATTTCTTCAGCGGACAGATCCTGATAGGGCGGTGCACAGTTTGTTTTCTCCGGCGAATGCGTGACCTGGCAGTCCGGATTTGTCATTGTGTCCCATTCTCCCAGCCGTACGGCACGAACTCTCCAGCCCCTATTGCTTATCGCTGGTCCAGCGACGCAATGGGCCGCCGTTAACACATAGCGCTCGCTGATCAGAACGCCGCCGCAAGCATGAAGTTTCTCTTGGTTTGCTGTGTCATTGGGAAAGAACCAGCGATAAGAATTATTGTTATTTCAATGTGAATAGCCATACATACGTTTAGTATATTCAATAAGAGCCAGCCACGGATACTCATTAATTTTTGTTTCCGAGTCATTGGAGCGCTGCCATGCGACAGCCCCGCATTCCCTGGGCAGTAGTGGATGTCTGAGGGCACCTAAACCCTCTCTCCTCGATTGACCTAAGCCAACAGTCCTATTGTTATCCAAAGGGCAGCACACCTAAAAAGTAGATATATTTCAATTGGATTCTTTTTATTGATTCAAACATTTCAGCACATACGTTTACGTTGCCATTTGGCTGTAGATTGCATTGATTATCACGCAGCAGATTTCTATCGGACTCGGACACAGTTGTTGTCGCAGAGAGTATCCTCATAAAGACTTCGCACTGGCGAATGGGGATGCATCGCCCCGGAACCCGTCCATCCGGTGTTAACGACGCACAATCACCTTGCCCCTGGGCTAAAGATAATTCCCTTGTTCAGGTTCACAACGACAAGTCTATAAATCTTTCATAATTACCAGCTACGCTCAATGTCAGTGAGCAAACAACAACGCCAGCGACTAGAACCGCAGCTAACATGCCTCGAACTAAATTAATTCCCATGCTTTGAAGCTTTCACAAAGATACTGTTTGCTCGGTTCTGAAATATTCGTAAATACAGGTCAGCAGTGGAAGCGCAGCGCACTGAATGGCATGCGCCAACCGAGTTGGTGTTATGACTGAGCGATCGAGTTTTGAGCCAAGCCGCTGTGTCCCACCGAGAGAGCGCGATTCCAGATAACAATTAAAACCGCTCCATAAGGCGAACAGCAGCCAAAATGCTTAGTACTGAGCCACTAGGAATGCTCCAAAGTTGTCAAAATGTATACATTTTTTAAGAAAAAAATCCAGTTGATGCTAACCGTTAATATCTGAGGTATTTCTGAAACAATCAAAATTGCTGATAATAGGAATTAACGTAACCGTCAATCGCGGTAACTGTGACCTGCCAACGAAATACTTGTGACAAAGCAGTCTACTTTACTACTGGCATAAACTGCGGCAGCTGTTAAATTCAAACTCGCGCTTTTATCGCAGTTTTTATTTAAAACAAATCACATTGAAGAGCAACTAGTTTAAAGAAAAGAAAAACTAACTTTTAGCACTTTTCGCGGCATTCTAAAAAATCATTCTTAAACTCCTAAAAAGTCAAAAACGATTAACGGAAAGTTTTCCAGGAATGAGTAAGTGTTCGCTGTTAATAGCAGTTCAGCAAAATGTTAAATTCCTGTCGTTGTGTGTGTGTTAACATTTTTTACACGTATGCGCACACACGCTCAAAAAGTTCGTAGGCGCGTGAAAAAATTAAATTTAATAAAAAAAACGCATTTATATCGATGCCCAGGGAACCAAAACACAATAAAGTGTAACAATAAATATTGTCCTACAGCTAGGCGATCGTTCTCAGTTGGCAACTACAAGATTTCAAGTCGAAAACACCATTTGAAAGTGCGATTACGGTGCAAAGAAAAAATTTTCTGCAAATAATTCCCAGGTCTGTTTGCTGGCGTAATTGGCAATGTATGTTGTCCATGTGTGTGTGCGTGCGAAAGCCTTTGTATTTGTACGAGCAAAGTGCATGTATTTGTGAGAGCGCTGAATAGCTGTGAGTTGTGAGTACATGTATGCGCGCAAGCAAACAGAAGTAAAGAGCGCGGGAAAAGCAAACGGGTAGAGTTGTCGAGATGTGAGCTAAAATTTGGTATTATTTGAATATGATCATCAAATAATTGTACATATTAGGAAAAACTAATAAAATTATAATACAGTTATTATTTCTAATGCCGCTGCTAATTTTATGAAATTTTTAAGTTAATATTTCATTAAAAAGCAATTCGAAATAAATACGGCAACCCTGCACTTGGGAGGGTACCTAAAAACAAAACCAAGTATATTGCGCGCGTCGTTGCGGCGCCAGTTTGACGTTTGACTCGTCATCAGACGGTTGGGTAAATTTTTTCTCTCGTTTGCTGTTGCGGCTGTGTGCTTGTGTATGTGTATATGTGTATGTGTGCGTGTCTGTTTGCACTGCTTGTGACGCATTCTTGTTTTGCAGCAAATCAACGCCAAAAACAAACTTTGAACGGCGCATATAATGAAGAAAGAAAAGACGAGTTTTTTATAAAGTCTCGATGATACCAAGAATATTTTGGTAATTGTGATATTTTAAATGAAACAAGAAGCAAGTGCAATTACATACAAGGTAATAAGTGCAGTGGTGGTGGCGTGCTGACTGCGCTGGTATGGGTGTGTCGCTCTCTGTTTGGCTGTGTGTGCAAGTGAAATGAAGTAAAAGAAAAGGAAGGCATGACAAAGGGCGACGTCGCCGCGGCTGAATAAAAAGAAAAACGTATAAAAATGCCGGCAACGCCGAATTTCAAGTGCGCTATACCTACATATGAATGTGTACAAATACAAAGGGCTGTCTGCCACTTTAAACAAGTGCAAGTCGCAATGCTGTGTTTGAGAAATATATAAGCGTATCTGGAAAAGCGCTTTTCTTTTGAATGCTCCAAAGCTCATTTACACGATAATGTATAATTTGTTTTGTTTTGTTTATTTGTTTATTATCGCCCACAAATACAATCGCAAATGCTTTTATGTGCGTGCGTGAGTGTGCAGTGATGTGCCCAGGCGGTGATAATTACGTTTCGCAACAATCGTCATCATTACAATCGTGTCTAAGCGTATGTGTGAGTTGCCAAAATCTCGCGTTTGGGCCATGAACTAAAAGTTGCGAGAGCAAGACAAAGACAGCGTTATCGTTAACGGTACTCGTAGGTGCCGCAAAATACAGCTGTGTACGTGTTTACATACACATACCATTGCAGTTACATGTAATATGTGTGAGAGTGTTTTGCAGCTGACGCTCACTAGCGTCCATAAAATAACATGAAAAAAAAAAACAGTGAAAAATGATAAAGCATTGTGTAGAAAACTGAAGTGGGAAGTAACGGGCACAGCCCACCCTGCCAGACTAGCGGCTGTGCCTGTTGGCGTTCTTTGCTTTTCTTACATCTGCCGTTTAGCACAGCCTCGTTGCGGTCGTCATCAGCTTCATCCATACATACATACATACATGTACATAAGTACATGCAGACATGCATACATAAGTATATACGTGCACACGTTTATTTTGTGCTTTTTCTTTTACACATTTAGCCTTCAGTTTCCGGTTATGAAGGAAACAAACGGGTTCGGTTTTCCTGCACTTGCAACATGTGTGCGTGTGTATTGTGTGCATTTCATTGTAGTTTCTGTGCGTCAATAACTACGAAAAAAAAAACATCGGCCGCTGCTTCCATTCGCGCTCTTCCCAAGAGTTGGGTCGATTCGTTTAGAATAAGTGCATTTGAATGTTCGATAGCAATTAACAACTGATCCTATGAATGTAGTTACATATGTATGTAGATTTATTAGTTTAGGGCATTGTAGAAAAGTTAGTAATTGTTTATCCCAACACAAATCTGCAAATATATATTAAGTTAAATCAAATTGTTTGTTCGCATATTAAGTGGAACAGGAAATCGTGGTGCATAGAAATCACATTTTGAACATTTAAATGGAACTGAAAAGCAGAATGTATGAACTGTAACATAAATGATCAATCAAATAGCTAAAGAAGTTAATTAACATGCTGGCTTGTTGAATGAGTTTAAACTTAAGGACCCAACCATACGTACTCTTCCCTACTCTGTTCAGCAGTCTATACAACATTTTCCAGAGCTGACACAAAAGAGCGACAGTTCTTTGTTGACTCTTCGAGCGTTGCCAAACGCTTCTCTATGTATAGGATATATATATATATGTATGTATGTATGTATGTACACATGTTGCATGTACATAAACCATTTCAATTTGATACAAGCTAGTTATAATACTCTGTGCTGGCAACTATTTAGTAGTGACTGTTGTTGCGGCGCGTTAAGCGTAACGATGCGAATGCTTTGCTCTCGCAATTAACCTCTCAACCGGCTTTCTGCCTGCCTGCCTGCCTGTCTGTCTGTCTCACTGTCTGTCTGTCTGCCTGCCTCTAGCAGACCAGCAGACCTTTGAGTCGTTTCTTCAGCCTTTACAACCTTCATATTTCAACAGGCATTGCACCACGCACAGTCTAACATTTTCTATGAGGCTTTTCATTTTACAGCCCCTTGAATCTATCAAAGGAGTTCTGAAAAAGGTCACATAGTTTAAGAGCACGGAGCGAACGCAAGATGTTCAGTTTCAAGCAGCGAAGAAATTTCTTGAAAGAACCGAAACCATATTCGAATTACCCAACGAAAACCTATTTGGCTAGGAATTAGGTGGTTATTGATTTACAGAAACTTATGCTACTTCATAATTAAGAGGAATATGAGGCTTTCTAGGAAGAAAACAAAATATATGGTATTAATTAATATAGCTCGAATTAGAAAATCACATCATATGTATGTATGTATATACCTTTTCAAAATGTCTACCTGGTAATGCTGATTATATGGACAGGTTTTGCCCTATACGAGAAAAAACTCCAAGACGGAACCCGCCCAGAGTTTTATATGGTTTCTTCATAGAATTACCAAGTCTTGTACTAGTTGCCTTAGCTTCCTTTGTCTAGGCTTTACGAGCTGATTGTTTGGCCTGTTCTTTTGTCACTTTATCATTATTCGAGCGCTTCTAAACGCCAAAGAAAACGAGCCAAAACCAGTTAACATTTAACTCCAAAAAAGGCCAAAGCCAGCCGCTGACAAACCTCGTAAAAGAAGAAGATGGACCTGGGGCAGAGCGTAAAGCGGCGGAAACCACAATACAATACGACAACAACAACAACAGCAACAACAACAACAACTACGAAATTCAGTATAGTCATTATTTGCAATTATTGGAATGTCTCTTTGGTTCTTTTTCTCTTTTTATGTGTACGCTAAATACATTTGTTGTTTGTGTTTTGTTTTGTTGTTTTTGTAATTGCCGCAGGTTTCTCTTGCGGCTTAGGATCAAAAACCTTTGCCCAGCTTTATATACATATACATATGTATATATGTATGTATATGTGTATGCATGTATGTGTATGCGTGCGTTTGTCTTTGAGTGTATTTTTGTTTGATTTCTGTTTTGAGCATATTCGCCAAGTCTTAACCTTACATTTTTTCAATGCCGACTTCATATTTTTGTTGGTCTCACTCTTCCTCTTCGTCTGCGTCTCGGCAACAATTCACAGTGCAAACATAATAAACAAAACTATCACGTACACACACACACGCACACACACACACACACACACACACACACATACTCTCCTCATATGAGGTCTTGCATACGCAAGTGTGAGTAGCGCCTATCTCTTGTTTAATGCTCTTCTCGTCATTTCCTTCTTTCTCGGAAATGTAAACAAAATAGAAACAATGCAACTCAATACGAGTGCGTCTGTCAAATGCAAAATACCAGCGACATTTATTCACTTTTTGAAATACGAGCGAAATTCAACTCAATACGCATTGTGGCAATTACAATCATTACAATATTAATATTTATGTAAATGAATACAGTAGTTGCATTCACGACTAGCCAAACCAGTAAATTATTACGGTTCATTAAAATGCTTTCAATTTGCCATATGGTCAGCTACATGTTAATATCTACAATTACTCATGTACATAAATTCACATTCAATTTAAAAATATGCATATGAATGCATTTATACAACAAGATATTTAGAATATATTAAATATAGGTATGTTAGTATCGAATACCCATACGCTCGAAAATGGCCTCAAAATAGAATTATCTAGCAAGTATTCTTGAGTTTTTGCTTTTTAGTGGAAAATGTAGAGCTTCGTTAAATTCGAACTTCTTCGAAATTAGAGCCATCTCGAATAACGGTTTAATTTTCGATCAACCAGTTTATTATCAATATTAACAGACATGATGCGATGCGCTAATTTCTAATATCAAAGCAACATCAAAAAACACGATTAGTCAAGACCTTGTTTACCCAACAGATATCACTAAAACGGGATATGACTCATAGTGTGCATATCAAAGAGTTTTGTCTAACATTTTTTTGTTTTGATTAAAATTTCAAGGCACTTGGAAAAAGATCATAAATTCTTTGTCAAAATAAACTATTTTATTTCGAAAAATTATTTTCCGTTTTAATTTAATAACGAAGAAAGATAAATTTTCTAAGCATATATGAAATTTTCTTGTATTTTGAAATGAAATAAATACAGTACTTAAATTACTCCAGTTGATCATTTTCTATTCGTTATTTTATTCATTCGTTTATTCGATTTACGAAAAAACTTTCTTTTTCAAAGTAAATCGGGTCTTACAACCAATATGCGCTATGTTAATGGTGTGTACAATTGCAATGTGCATAATGTAATTTATCTTCAAACTAAATTTATTTTCAGTGTATAAATTGCAGCTTCCAGATACTCAAGCTAAACTTGATTTGTTTTGGTTTTCATTGGAGCTGCGCACTCAATAATTGTTGCTTGCTTTCATTTAAATTTGATTATACAAATGTTAGTGTATGTGTACATATGTATGTATGCATGTGTATGTGCATATCATATGTCAATAAGCAAAATTGTTTTTGTTCTCGTTTTCAATTTTCGTTTGGCTTGCAAATTTTGCGTACGCGCTTTCTTGTTGTTTTTGTTTTTACTTGTGAATTCGTATGCTCGAAAACAGTTTTTTTTTTTCATAGTGTGTGTATGTGTGCGAGAGTTCATTATTATTTCTTTTGATTGCGTATTTTGCTTTGTGCTTTACTATCAGCACTTTGCGTTTGCTTTGTCTTTACGAACTGGGGAGAAAAGAAAAAGGCAAAGAAATCAAGCGATTCGCTTGAATTGTCTTATTGTCTGTTGTCTGAATTGTCTGTCGCAAGCACATTTATTTATTTGCGGGAATATATATGTACGATATACAGTTTGTTTTCATACCCTGTTACAAATCTTTGGTATGGGTATGTTGGGTTCCATATAATTTATATAATAATTCTGTTAAACTATAAATTTAGATTTTATGTATCTCCATATTATATTTATTTACATGTTCTCTTAAGCATTACATCCTGCATGTTTATAGCCCCCTTTTACTGGATATATAATAAAGGGGGTATATATTGTAACACCCTTAGTTTTTTCTTAACCATATGTTTGTAACACATGTGCATATTTGTGTGTCCAGGGTATTCTCAGTAGTCGGGTATAACTAGATAACAGTCACAATCTCGATTGACTCACTGTATTTATTGTTATTGCAGTGTGTTCCACATCTGCGCCTGTGTATGTGTTAGTGAGAAAGAGAGAAAGAGAGAGAGAGAGAGAGGAACTTTTTGTGGAAGAATTATTTATGTGCGAGTGTGAGTGTGTTTTTGTGTGTGCACTTTTGAGCTTAAGCAGTGCATTTGGCCAGAGCACACGTGACAACGCCCCTCGATAAGTCTGCTCTTTGCCCAATCAGCAGCGAGTTCGCAGGCTTCAAACCAGACCAAACTAACGCGTTGTTATTTATTGCAGATCAAATAGAAGTCAGGCGGCAAATACATAAACACATACACACACACTCAACACACAAACAGCCCAGTAGCAACACGAAGAAGAAGAAGAACTGCACCAGCAATAACAACAATAGCTAAAGCAACGGCAACGGCTGCAAATTGGACATGTCATGTCAGCAAGCGTCAAGATTCATTACAGCAACAGCGACAACAACAGTAGTAACAACGAAAAGCATACCAACAACAAAACGCATTGTAACTGCAACGCCAACAACAATAACAGCAGCAGCAGCAGCAGCAGCAGCTAAAACAGCAGCGAAAACAACGCCACTGGCCGTGGTTGTGGAGAACAATATTGGTGTTGCTGCCGCCAAAACGAACACGCCTGAGGATCCCTATGTGTTCACAGAGACTATTGCAGCGACACCGCCAATTTTATTTAATGCACAGGTAAAGCCAAGCCAAGTCGTGTCAAGGCGAAACTGAATTAAACTAAAACAATGCCCTCACCTATACACACACATACATACATATATCTACAATACATATACATTTATATTGTTGTAGAAATCGCGAGCCCGCCTAAGCGTAGCGCAGCACAGCAGAAATTGCAGCAACAGCAGCAAGCAGAGAGCTGCAAACAAAAAAGCGAGCATTGTTGCTGCAACTAAAGCGTCCATTGCGCAGTTTAATGGCACTGCAACAGCAGCAACAGCAGCAGCAGTCACTGTATCAACAGCGAGAGCAGCAGCAGCAACAACAAAGGCGCAGGCGTCTTTGGGTGCAGCAGCAACAAATACAGCAACGAATTTCAATAATGTCACACAATCTCAAAGGCAGCCAACGTCACAGTCGCAGTCGCAGTCGCAGCTGCAATTGCAGTCGCCGCTTCAGTTGCAGTCGCAAGCTTCACCGAAACGCGCCACCAACGTTTGCGTGGTACGTCCTCAGCAGCAACTGCAACAGCAACAGCATCAGCAACAGCAGCAGCAACTGCAACAACTGAAGCAACAGCAATCAAAATTGACCATCAAGCAACCAGCACCACATCCACCACCGCCGCCGCCGCTTTATACGCACACGCCCTCCTTGTGGCAAACGCCGCTCATATTGGATAGCACGCAGAAGCAGCAGCAGCAGCAACAACAGCAACAGCAGTCCAGCATTGTCGTTGCCACAGCGTTGGTCAGCCCGCCCACATCGCCCGCCTCGTTACCCTCGCCAACGGCCAATTCGCCGCCGACGGCAGCTGTGACCGCCATGGTGTCGCCCATTGTGGTGCCTCTATCAGCAGCGTCGGCTGCGATGTCGCCGCCAAAGGGCGGTTCACTGCCACCATCAAAGTTTCATCATACGACGTTGGCGCAGCACTTGCAGAAGGTGGAATGTCTGAAGAAGAAGAAATCCTTGCCACTGGCCTGCCAGAACTCCAACAACCACAACAACAACAACAACATTATGGAGTCGCTACCCAAGACGACAACTCCGTTTGCCGCCTACAATTTAACGCATCCACCACCGCTAACGGTTTTCAATACTGCAGCAGCAGCCACACCTGCAGCTGTTGGTGCAACAACGAAAAAACATTCCGCCGATGCTACCGATGACAACAACGATCTCAATGAGATTCCCGTCAATGTCATCTTTCGGAAGCCACCAGAGCTTTTAGCTGGTGTTGCCGCACAAACACCGCCACGTCCAGCGGTTGCAATTGAACAGCAGGCCGCAACGACGAAGCTGGGCGCTGTGGCACCATTAACACCGCCAACGCCACCCACACTAGCGTCGCCTTCAAAGCCGCTGCTGGGAAATGTGTGTACGAAGTTGCCAGTGACAGCAACAGCAGTTACTGCACCCGCCCTTCTGACTACTTCAGCGTCAGCAGGAGTAGCAACAGCAGCTACAGCCGCAGCGGCATCCATTGCCAGCATTCAATATGAACAAATGTCTTCCAAAGTTGCCAATTCTGTTGTCAGTAATGCTGCCGCTTTAAAACGTAAAGCGCCGGTAGTTAGCACAGGTTGCAGAAAGGGCAATAAAACAAACAAAAATGCTGCACAGGAGACGCCGCCGTCAGCAATTGCGCAGCCAGTTCAGGACGCAGCTCCCACGTTGGAAGCAGCGTCAGTTGGCTCAGTGGCGCGGCGACGCAAAGTGACGCCAGCGGCAAAGCCCAACACAGTACTACTCAGCGAGAACGAGCCTTTGGAGCTGGATGTTCCATACTGCCTGCAAACTCGTTGGTTGCATGCCGGCAAACATCTTGGCCAGGAGTCCCAGTCCGTGCTGAGTAATCGCGAGGAGCGCATTGCTCTACGTAAAGGTGTGCTACGCCGCCAGGCGCTGCAGTTACTTTCGACCCGTACGCTGCAGCAGCTGCCAATGCGTGCGGCACGTCAGCGCTTGCGGAGTGTTCAGAGTCTATTGCTCAAATACGGGGATCATGCGAGTCAGAAGCAGGGCATGTAAGTACACAAAAATACCTAGAATCTTAGTCGATGCCAATTGAAACCTTTTTCATCTTCGCAGTGGCGTTGGCAATCGCTGTCTGGTGGCTGCTTGCAAACAGCCCACGCTTAGCATGGCCGCACACTGTGAGCGCCACATTATCAACAACACGACACAGCAGCTATTCCAGCCGTGTGTCGCCTGGCGTGTGGATGGCGTCGCCTGTCAGGCGCCCGTCTTCGATGTGCTGCACACGCTGGCCCTGTGTCCGGTTCACAGTCACCTGCGGCATGCCGTTGGGGTGCAGTCTAAACAGCAGCAGCCGCAGCAACGGGCAAGAGTTTTACAACAGGGGCCCAAGCAGGCGCCCACGCCCGCCGTGCCAGGTCCTGTGCCGGCCACAGTAGTTGCTGCTAATGCGCCAGTGGCTATTAAACGCAAGCGTAAAACGAATCCAAATGCCAATCCAGTTGGCCGTCCGCAGAAGCGTGCCAAAAAGCTAGATGCATCCGCTAACAGCACGTTGCCCGTAATGCCACCGGTGTCGGCGGTGTTGCAACGTAAGAGCAGCACCACCTCGCTGGAGTCTATTGCCAGCAACTCGCAGTCGTCGGCCAAGTCGCACTCGGCACTGCAGCCCTACACACCAACAGCGCCTGTCTTAACTGTGCCGCAGCAGCAGTCGATACCTCCAGCGCTGGCGCCGCTCAGCGATTATCAACTGCAGCAGCAGCAGCAACTGCTGCCGAAGATCGAATCGGAGCAGCAGACGCAGCAGCTAGATGCTAATTTACTGGCCAATGCCAATTTCAAGGTAGATGAAATTAGCCAAATAGTGGCACAGCTGGCGGCAGCCAGCAGCGAGTTGCATCATAACAACAACGACTTGCACTTTAATAACAACAACAATAGCAACATGAACTACTACAGCAACAACAACAGCAACAGTGGCAGCAGCAGCATAAGCTGTGGTTTTCCCTCATTCAACGCAGCTTTCGGCAATGCCATGAGTGGCCAGGGCCAGCAGGTCGGATCGCATCATGCCAACACATCGCTGGCCAGCACGGAGAGTATGCTGGGCCAGCACATGTTTGGCATCTGCGAAAACAGTTCGGCCTATGCCAGCTCCGAGGATACGGGCCTGGGTGGCCTCAGTGAGTCGGAGCTGATAGGCGCAAATGATGCTGGTAAGTGGACAGCTAGGATATTCTGTTCAATTTCCAATTGCTAACTACATATCCTATTTACATTCACTTTGCAGATGATATAGCATTAAATGGCGCCCATTTGCTGGAGGAGCACGATTTGGTAAATGTATTTGATACGCTGCCGGACGACGCGTTCAACGAGTTATTTCAATCCGGTGTGTATTTCATAATTACAAAGTTAATTGTGCTTTTCATTGTACTAATTAATGTGTGCACCTCTCCGCCATGCGCCGCCTGTGCTGTGCTGCAGTGCAACAAGCCGAGTGCGAGGCCATGGATCGTGCGCTCGAGATTGCCGATAAGAACCTCAAGTGTCTGCAGCAGACAATTGGCAACACGGCGCACGACAGCGCATTCCTTAATGATTTCCTCGACGTGGGCGATGATCTGCTTGTGAACGCTGTCTCGTCCGTGATGAACTCGCCTAACACATCCGGCATCGATGCCTCCACGCTCTTTGTCGATAGCAACGGCGGCGGAAACAGTAGCAGCAACGGTGCTGCCGGCTCCAGCTCCAACAGCTGCACGTCGGCGGCCTCCGTCGCGGATATACGCGGCCTGGTCCAGACATAAATCGGCCTTAGCCTCACTCGTACAAGCTTCTAGTGAGTCGCTTTCAAACGTTCTTTCGAAAACATATGAAAATCTTGAAAAAAACACACTTAGAAAACAAATATCTAACTTAATTTCTCAACTAATGTTGAACAACTTTTATGTTTTCTATATTTACCAAAATTTCCTTGTTTGGCCATCAGAGAAGCTTGACAGATTCACTGACTCCGATTTCTTCTTTAGAATACACTTCTATATACTACCTATGTGTATGTATAGCATGCGATGCATACATAATAACTGAAGCATCATATAAATACTATGTGTTATTGCAAAAAATTCTAAAAAAAAAAAAACAAAAAAAAATACATAAAAACAAATTCCAAAAATAAAACTAAAAAAATTTCAAAAAACAAAAATATAAACAAAAAAATATACTGTAAATTCGCGTGTAACCTTAGCGTAAAAATAATTAACTTAATGTTATCAGTTAGTGCAACAACAAAAAAATTGTAAGAAATAACGAATTGTGAAAGAAATGTAGAATGCAGGTATACACACACACACACACACATACACACAGCAAAAGGGAAAAATAAATTATACAAACTTAGGAAATGTTAGTAACAAATTTGAATTTGAAAGCGTGAAAGAAATGCTAAATATCGCATAGCAGAGTTAAGTTCGAAGTAAGCATAGAATTTGTTGAAACCTTTTTATAAGCGCATTTACATCAAACCACTTAAAATCAGAAATGTAACAATAGTAACAACAACAGCAGAAGCAAAAAGAATTTAAGTTTTATTTAGTTTATGGATCAAACCTATACATACACACACACACACACACACACACACACATTAAACGTACAAGGGACTAAATAGTTTGAAACCGCGAATCGTATTACAATATATATATAAATATATATATTAGAACACACCTACGTAAGCTTTAATTTAAATGAAACCAACAAACAACTAACAAAATTGAAATGCAACTTGGTTTTTTTAAAGTTGTGTTAAAACAGATTTTGTTTGTAGTTGATTTGCAACTGGAAGAAATTCAAGTTTCAAACATTTGAATTTGGTTTATTACTTTTTGATTTGGTCTTTGTAGTGCATATGTAAATTAATAATTGCATATTTAATAGAATTATATATACTTTATATACTGAAATATAAAATTATTTAGCCTAAGTAAAACACATACACATGTACCCACAAATACATACAAGAAAACTGTTACGCTTTAAATATAAATCATTTAACGCCCAAAACACACGCCCACCTCACATATACACACACACGCACGCACGCACACAGACACACGACACGCTCACGCACGCATCGACATCCATTGTAATATTTCATTTGTCATCTTTGCAAGTATTAAATGAGAGAAACCGTTTAATAATAAAAGAAAGCAACAACAATACGTATACATCAAATTACATCAACTGTCAAGCATTCAATTTACATCATGCTTAGGCAGCGCACATTAAGGATCTTCATTGTGGACGTGTACAAGAAGGGAACTACTCGTACTTTAAACATATTAGACAAAACTGTAATATATTTAAATAATATTAAACACATGTATATTCTCCCCCCCTCTCTCTCTCTGTCTCTCTGTCTCTATCTATCTATTTCTTGCTAACTATTATACTGTATGTATTTCTGTTTTAATTTTGAAATAGTGGATCTATGGCATTAATTTAATTTAATTCTCCTTAGTTGGCAACTAGTTTACACAGATATATATATATATAAATGCATATGTATAAATTTATTATTTTTGCTGTGCAAGTGACGCGAACAAAATTCTTTGCAAAGCTGAAAAATAATGTATTTTAAATTACACGCAATGCATTGCATTGTGCAGAATTTGTATATTTAAGCAAGCCAGAGAAAATTGAAGCAGCCGCCCCTCCATTAAAAAACGCCTCCAAAAGATTGGTTCAAAAGTTATTGAATTTTGTTTCGGTATGAGGTACAATTCATTTTTTTGTAGTTTACATGCATTTTTGTGATCTAATTTCTGTAATTATTATAAACGAAAAACAAAAATATAATATATATATATATATATTTTACATATATAAGAGAATAAAAATAGAAAAAATATTCATTTTATGGCAACTGCAACTGAATCTTTTACCCGGAAAATATAACACAATATTTTTTTGTACAAAAAAAAAAAAAAAAAAAAAAAAAACAGAAAACCAAAACTAACACGAGATTATTTTTTTTTCGGACTGATCAAGTTTTGATTTAGTTTTCAGAAAGGGACTCGCATGGTGGCCCACAATCCGAGCAGGCTGTGGATGCTGTCAGAACGAGCTGGCAAGACAAAATAAATCAAGCAACACAAATTTCTGACAATAATCCAGTTCCTTCGTCTAAACACATACTCGCATAGTTCCAATTCAAAAAATAATAAAAGCCGCGTTGTAGCAATCAATCAATTATCAAAAATCTTCACAAGTTACGTTTACCTTTCTTCGTTTTGCGGTCGGCCAGTTTAAATTTTGCAGTTGCATTTGCTTATTATATTGTGAAAAACCTAAAAAAAAAGAAAACAACAAACACGTTGTAAATCAACTGGACAGTCCATTCGCCAGCGAATTTGGTCGGCTTTGGCCGAAAGCAAACCAAGCACAAAGAAGAAGAATACAGCTGGACCGAGCGGATACGATTCCCAGTAATCAGCTCGTGACCGGAACTGTATTTGGCTGCTCAGTAGGCAAAGCCTTTGATGATTACAAATGTCTGTCTGTTAAAGTACTCGTAACAAATCAAAATATTTTATATATTTATAATCTTCGGCCAATTCGAGTACAAACACGGACGTGGTAAGTACTAAAGCTGACTCAATTCTAGCTGCTTAGCTAGGAGCTTATATCCCATTCTGTATTATTAACAAACCTTCAATTTTTCATGGTTTCGGCCGTATGCGCAGCTGTATATGTGTTATATTTTTTATGTCTGAAAATTTGGGGGAACTCTAGGATTACCAAACGATACCGTGAAAACTGTGCACTATTCTCAAGCAAGAAATTGAATGCCGTAAGTACCCAATACTCTTGCCCAAAAGAGATTCTACATTTACCAAGTTTCGTATTCCTCAAAACCAAAACATGTAATACAGTTCTTGTTTTTACCTATATGTATTTACATGGATTAGACCTAAAGGTACGCCTATTAGCTAATATTAAACCTAGGTACAATAAATAGTCTGGTTTAGGTTAGTGTGGCTCCTACGACGGCTATAACTCTGTGGTTTCCAGTTTACGCGCCAGGATTTGAGCATTATTCGTTAGTTTATCAATTTGATTGTATAAATTGAAATGCCGATTCAGGTCATTTGTATTGTTAAACAATTTGGCAGTACCCTTAAGGGTTTCGTGTAGGTCCTGTGTGCCAATAGCCAGAAAATTATCGTCCAAAGAGTCCTGGCCGCCAATACTGTGAAAAAAAACATCATCATTCTATATATATCGAATGTATTTAGAAATGGGATCGGTTGTACACGAACCTCAGATTTTCCTCGGTCTTGAACCATTCGTTCTCGTAGCCCTTCAGCCAAATGGGATTGGAGCCTTGTACGCTATGCTTGTTAGTATTGGGCACTCGTGTGGCGGGCTCATGTGGATGCTGCAGCGATGTGGAGGAGTGTCCACCTAGGAAGAGGTGAAGCAATTAGCAACTGTTTGCTTTAGACACTAGGTCCTGGTAACTTACGAAAAATGTTTACTTTGGCGGCGCGCAGCTGCCTTCTGTAGCCTTTGCGCTGCGAGGCGCACAGCGCCAGGGTGACCACTAGCAGGGCGGCCAGGAAGAGATTTGTGAAGACAAGCCACACAAACATGGCACCTTTGGTCGGGCAGGCTATCAGCAGCTGCGCCTCGGCCGGCTGTGTGTCCAGCACATTTAGATCCTTGAACAAATCGTCCAGGCTCTCGATGTGTGTGTCAATTAGCTTGAGCACCTCGGAAACCTCGTATATGGAATTATCCTCGCGCTCGACTAGATGCATGTATAAATCTGTTTTGGTCTTGTCCACCGATCCATCCTTATTTTCGTGCACTTTGATCTCGTCAATGTTCACAATGGACTCGGTTATGTTGCCTAGAGTGCTGTTCGCATGTCTTAGAAATAGAAGCGTATGGTAAATAGATAGTTACTTACTCTCGGAACGTATCAATTCTGGAGCGTAGTTCGTCCGGCTGCAGGCGGAAGACAAAGCGCACCTTCTGATCCTCGCGCAGCAGATAGATGAACACGTGGGCCACATCCCGCATGCCCAGCGTATCGTTGGCCAGCACCATAAAATCAAAGTAGCCTTTCATGCCCTTCTGCGGATCGAAGTTAAGCATCACCTCGCCTGTATTCTGGTCGATCAGAAATGGTGCCTTGCGCACATTCTCCATACCCTCGGAGAGCGTTTGCCTTATCTCGCCCACCTGATAGTAGGAAATTTTTGCATTTTCACCCTCATCCGGGTCAGAGGCTTCCACTCGCATGAAACTCAGCCCAAAATCTGCACTAGTTGTAATGCCGCCAGTGAAAATCTTTGAGCGAAACTTGGGCGGATTATCATTGATGTCCAGTACACGCACCAGCACACACACAATGGTGCTGTCCACTTTGGGCGGCTGCTGTGGCGTCTGGACATTCTGCACATTCTCCACATAGCTTTCATAGGATTGCGTTTCCGGCTCGACGGATGAGGACGTTTCGTAGTCTAGGTCAATGGCGCGCAGCTGGCGCGAATGCTTGAACCGATCGTAGGTGAATTCTGGGCCATTCAACATACCCGGCTGTTTGCTATTCATCTTGCTGTCAATCTGTATGCCCAGGCGACGTTTCTGGCCCAGCGTGTCGTTGGCACAGTTCTCCGTGGCCTTTATGTACAAGGTAAAATTGGAGATCAACTCTCGATCCAATTCTCGCTCGACAGTCAGCACATGCGACTCGGGATCCAGACGGAAGTAGCCCGCCTCATTGCCGTGCAGTATGAAATAGCACACTTGCGTGGGCGTCTCATCGGGATCATCTAGTTCCATTTCATCCTTATCTATGGTGTCGGGTAGCTTTATGCGCTCAGAGCCCGGATCAGAGTGTTCCGTGAAGTTGAGAGAGATCTCATTTACAACAAACTGCGGCTCATAGTCGTTGACATTGCGTACGTAGATGGTTAGGTCGAGATCTGTGCTTAAGGATGTGGGTAAACCTTGATCGTAGGCCTCGATTCGTATCTGGCAAGAAAAGTACTTAGTAATAGACCTGGACGAGCACACTAGCTACTCACCTCATGCAACTTTTGCTTTGTGCGATTCAGGCGCTCTTTCAGGAACAGCTCGCCCGTGCTGGCCTTCAACTCGAACAGCTTATAGCTGCCCAGAGGATCGGGTTTTAGGCGATAGCGCACCAGCGCATTCTGCCCCATGTCCGCATCACTCGCATAGGCCTGCAGTATCATGGTGCCCACAGTGGCATTCTCCGGTATGCGCACCGTCGTATTGTGCAAGGGCCTCACAAACACGGGCGCATTATCGTTAAAGTCCGAGACACAAATGTCCAGCGTGCTCGACACTATGTTGGCAGGCACACCCAAATCCTTTGTGCTAAGGGTCAGGCTATAGTTGCCAAATTTGTTGCGCAGCGTTTTACTGGCAAAAATCTGAGCGTTCCATGGATCGAGTTGCCTTAGCTCGAAGAGACCCTCTCTGTTACCCTTGGTGATGGCAAATTCAAGGCGTCCATTTGGCGTCGCAGCATCATCCGCATCTTTGCCCACAATGCTGGCAATACTCTCGTGCAGCTCGTGATATTCGGTGATGAGAACGCAGCTTGTGGGCAAACTGATTTCAGGCGCGTTATCATTTTCATCCAATATGGTAATGCTGGGAAGTTACAGTTACATATTAGAGCGAATCCCCATGAGAATCCCTGCCAGATCACTTACAACACTTGCTTGAAGGCATTCCGACTCTCGCCGGCCAGGAAGCCAAACTGATAATTGTCCCAGGCCTCGATCACTAGATTGTAAAAGTTCTTGGTCTCCCGGTCGAGCTTATCGGCCACGGTCAATACGCCCGTATCGGCATCTATCGTAAACTTGCCCTGAGAGCTAATGCGATCCATCAAGAATGTGATCTTGCCAAAGTCGCCCGCATCGGCATCGGCTGCCTGCACTGTGGCTACCCGCGTGCCTGGCGCAGCGCTCTCGCTGATCGTATAGTTCTTGCTACCACCTATAAAGTAGGGATTGTTGTCGTTCTCGTCCAACACGGTCACGTAGACATCCACCAGGGCCGATCGGGTGGGCACACCCCCATCTGTGGCGCGCACGCTGAAATTTAGCCACTGATACTGCTCGTGATCGATCTTGTTGGCCACCACGATTTCGCCTGTTTGTGCATCCAAGTGGACCAGATTGCGGTAGATGGGATTGCCCTCCAGTGCATAGGTGATGGTGCGGTTCTTGTCCACATCGTAGGCCAGCACATTGGCAATCAGGACACCATTGATGCTGTTTTCGGTGATCGTTTGTCTGTAGAAAGGTTGCCTGAACTTGGGATTGTTATCGTTTTCATCCTGTATTTGAATGCTCAGGAAAGCTAAGAAGGATGCAGCATAATTATTGTTAAGGTACATGTACTTTTGGTTCACTTACCTTCCACAATTTGCCGGCCCTTGGCTGCTGCCAGATCCTCAACGGCAATGGCTAGCTTGATGTGCTCCACTTTCTCACGATCCAACAATTTGATTACCTTCAAATAGCCCTGTATTGCATCCAGTTCGAAGGCGCCTAGGTAGTCGTATTCACTGATCTTCACCAGCCCGCCCTCCTCGTTGCGTGCCTCCGAATGCGCAGCGTTTAGCTTATAGCGCAGTATGGGATTCTGATCGGGATCTGTGGCTTTAATGTGATAGACCAATGCGCCAACGGGTGTGTTCTCCACTATATGCAGCGCTGGTAGGTCCTGCAGCATTGGTGGCTTATTGTTAACATCCCGGATGCTTATGTTCACCATTGCCGTATTCATCAGTTGAGAGCTGCCCAGGCCACCGTCTAAAGCGAGCTATTGTAGAAAAGAGTTCATTAATCTCGTCAAGCAATCTGCTATCTATCTATCCAAACACCTACCACATTCAGAGTGTAGATCAGGCGTTTGCTTTCGGTCAGATCGGGATCTAGGTTGGCACCTTGAGCCACAGATATAACACCTGTCTCCGAGTTTATAATAAACTTGTCGCTGGCGCCCGTTTGTATGCGATAGACGACCGCGTTGTTGGGCGAGGAACCGTCGCGATCGATGGCCAGCACCTGCAGCACGGAGCTGCCGCCGGGCAGATCTTCGGGCACAGTCTTGGCATAGAAACTCTTCTGAAAGATGGGCGGATTGTCGTTGACATCCTGTACGTAAATAAGAACGGGCACGACGGTGGACAGCATGGGTATACCCGAGTCCCGGGCGCGTACAAGCAGATCAATCTCTCGCATATCCGCATTGGCCTGACGCAGAGGATGCCGATGGCTATCCACGAGCTCCTCATAGTCAAAGTGATGCAAGGGCCGTATCAGACCAATTGCCGGATCAATAGTGAAGTTCATACGGTAGAGTCCCTCGACAATCTCATAGGTTATCTGGCTGTTCTCTGTGCCATTCAAATCCAGATCGCGAGCTTCCACTTGGAGAGGCGTCTCAAATTCGGCCTTATTCTCTAAAAGCTTTGCCTCATACTGACGATGTAGAAAGATTGGCGCATTATCGTTGACATCTTGAATATCCAAGATGATCTGGGCGGTATTGCGATTGCCCTGACCCACATTGTCTATCGCCTCGACCGTTAAATAGTGACGGGAAATAATCTCCCGATCGAAAGCAGCACTCCCCGGAGTTTTGATAGTTACCACGCCCGTTATGGGATTCAAATGTAGTCTGGGAAATTCAAAACTTATAAAGCAAATCAGTTTCACGATTGTGAATGGACTTACAAGTGTGCAATGCCGCCTCTTAGATTTGTATATCGTATGCCCATAGTTCCGAAATCTCCGGAATCCACATCGACCGCGTCCACCTTGGTGATGATTGTGCCCAGTTCGCTGTTCTCGGGCACGCCTGCATTGTAGATCGCTTGTGTGAACTCTGGGAAATTGTCATTCTGATCGCGTACGAAGATCTGCACGTGAGCCGAACTGAAAGAAACATATCATATATGCAATCCTTTATTCAAATATATGCCTTCAAGCGAACGCACCTCCAGCGAGTCGGCTCATCGATCTCGCGCGCAAATATGGTAAAATTAACTTCTATAAACTGCTCAAAGTCAAGGGATTTTGAATTCCTTACGCGTAACATAAAGTTCGCCTCATTTACCGCCAGCTCGGGCACAATTTCAAAGAGATCGTTGGGCGGATCGAGAAATAAACGAAATGTTCCATTTTTGCCTTCGTCATGATCGTAAACGAAATTCTGCACCTCCTCGTCGATGAAGTTCAACGGAGTATTGCTCTGGGCATTTTCATTGACCTCACAGCGATAGATGGCCTCACCAAAGGTGGGTATCTCGTCATTGACATCGGTCACAATGATCGTCACCTCGGTGCGTACCGTCGCAGGACCTTGTTGGGTTTCTTCTGAGTTCTTTGACAGCTCCGTCGCGGTGATCCTCAATATGTGGGCACCGTTGACGTGATCGCTTTCCTCCTCACGATCCAGCACGGCCAGCGTGTAGACAACGCCCGTGTGTGTATCGATATCGAAGAGATCATTGCCGTCCAGAGCGTAGGCAATGGGATTGTTGATGCCACGATCACCATCGATGGCACGCACACGCAACACCTTTGTGCCCACAGGTGCATCTTCGGCAATACGTGCCACAGCCTGCACCTCCACAAACTCGGGCGGCTGATCCTCAATGTCCTTGACCTTGACCAAAATGGCCGCCGTGCCCGTATTAACAGGTCCCTGATTGGCGCGATCAATGGCCAGAATGCGCAGCTGATACAGGCTCTTCTTCTCATAGTCCAACTCTCGTTGCAGTCGCAATATGCCCTTGCCCTGATGCGTGGAAATGCTGAAAATATCGTTATCGCCGTCCAGCTCTTGCAGATAGTAGACAACCTGACCGTAGGCACCTTCATCGGCATCGGTGGCCTCCAGTGTGCTAATCACACCCGATGCACTGCCCTCGGGTATTTCAATGGCGTTCGGATAGGGCAGAAAGATGGGCGCATTATCGTTAATGTCCTCGACGAGCAGCAGAAAGCTCTGCGTCACATAATTGTGGTCGCTGAAGTGACTGTCCGTCAGGGTGAGCACGATGGCGTACTCATCCTGCGTCTCACGATCCAGCTCCTTGGCCAGAAAGACCTTAGCCTCAGTGCCGCCCGTGTTCTCAATGCGAATGATCTCGCTATCGTGTGAGTTGCGCTTGCCAAAGATCAGTGGATCGTTGTCCGGATCATAGCCTCGCAGCGTGTATATGTGACTGCCCACCTTCGTCTCGGGACTCTCTTTCAGTCTTAGCACAATCTCCGACTGTCCATCGATAGCAAAACGCGGCGGACGATTCGCACACGCCGAACAGATCAATATTGTGAGTATTGTGAATAGGATCGGACAAAAACTGTTCCAGTTGGAGCCTTTTTTTAAACGCACTTTCTTATAGTCCAGGCTGCCAATTGCTTTGGACTGTTTTCCTTTGTACATTATTATGCTGTGAGCACCCAAAGACAACTGTTGTCGACAACTACATGACAGGTCGCACTCGACCATACTAGACAGCCACCTAGAAAATAGACAGAGTGTTACAACAACAACAACCAGCAAGTGTTAACCCATTTTCTTTTAACCCAATGTCATTAAAATGTGTACAAATATTTAGCGACACACATGTGTGTGTGTGCGTGTGTGTGTGTGATCTGTGCCTTATGACCTCAAAAAAGTTTCGCTTGAGAAATTTGTAATAAAAATTTACAAATGAGTGCGAGTTGGAGCTGGGGCTGTAGCTGCAACTGGAGCTCTGGAACTGCGGCTAACTGCTTTGTTGTCCGCTTGCCGTTGGCCATTTCTGGTTCTGCTTCTGGTTGCAAGTTGCAACATCGCAAATGCCCAGAAAGCTCAGCCCAAAGTGAGTCGGACACATGTTGCTCAATGGTACTGGACACACCACACACACACATAGTGTTAGACATGCTCGGACAGGGGCTTCCAGATGGTGGAGCACGTTCTGGTCTTGTCCGTTTTCGTGGGCTGCGTGAGAAGTCGGCAGCACAGAGATCTTGCGAAAGTTTTATGTGCAAATTAATTAAGCGTCGAAATTTGTTTTCTTTCATTGACTTCTTTCTTTGGCATTAGCCCGGAATTCCGCTCAAGAAAATTTCATTTGTTAAGAGTTTAATGACCGTTACGTTTCTTGACTTTTTTTTTTAGTATTTGTATATAGTTTCTATATTGCTAGACAATTACGATTAAAACTGAAAGGAAATATAATATGTAATATATATTACAGCTAAGCGAAGACAAGGTAATAATAATATATATAGCTGATAATGCTGCGTCGATCTGGTTGACGATAATAAAAAGATATTGCTTGTTATGAACCAAATCATGAAAAGCCACGAAAACTTTACCATTTCATTTAAGATAAGACTTAATACACATATTGTGTAGGGCTAATTGAAGAACTACAGAGAAATATATGAACTGCAATATCTGCAGATCTGGGCTAGGCACAGAATATCACCCAGTCAGGCACTTTTGACTTCTCTCAATCCAATCTCTTGCAGTTGAATTGCAATTTGATATTTCGTCAACGCGAATGCTCATGAAGCTGTTCGCTTATCTTTGTGTGGTTTTTGCAGCTGTAGCTGATGTTTGATTGTAATGCGTGTGAAAATTGTATCTGAATGTGTGCAGCTGTCAGATGCATCTCATGCTCGTCAGCTGTTTGCTGGCTTATTAACACAAGACATTGCCATTGTTCGAGTTGTGTTGAACTCGGCTGTGGCTTATTAAAAGCAGAGCATTTGCCACGCCCCAAGCCAAGCCGGGACAGTTCATTGATTTCACAATTGACATTTCATAATTTGTTGTCGAGCAATTTGTGCGGCACTCGTTAATCTTTTTGCCCGGCAATTGATTTGCAAGACTCAAATAGATACAGATACAATTACAGATGCAGATACAGATACGATTACAGATGGAGATACAAATGCAGCTCATTAGCATTCGCGTGTTACATCAACCTCTTGGAAAGTCATATTTATGTTGTGTTGAAAAAGCGTAGACAAGGTCGTTTATGAATTTCAAATGCTATTTAAAACAGCCTCGAGGCGAATAATTTATTTAAAAATAATTTCATTTGCGTCGGGATTAGGCGATTTCGCTTTCAACCGCCGCCGAGCGCCGCATGCAACATTTTCTTTTTGATTTATCTTAATTTTTTTTTTCAAAAAACAATTTTCCTTACTGGCATTTAGATGCTGCTTGAGGTAATTATGTATTTATGGCCAACGCTTTTGTGTAACGTACAGCGCAATTGGGTTGTTTGGTCAGTGGCTGTTTTCATTAGCAGCACCAAGCAGGGGGAGGGAGAGGCGGAGGGGGAAGGTCTTCTGATAGACCCAAGTATCGGTGTGTATATAGCTATAATTTCATGCTGCAATGATTTTGGCTGCGATTTGTGCAGTTAATAATAGCTAAATATGTTCGCAATTGAGGCTATCAATTCTGAGTGCTGTCTATATTCTACAAATATGTAGACAGATATGCCACATAAAAAAATTTGTAATTTTTAAAATAATAGATACTTTATATACAAAAAACTCTTAGCTTGTATCAAGTAACGTTCTGTAACTTGCAATTATAGACAGACAATTATTTGCTTTTCGAAAATATCTGTATCTTTATCTGTATTAGACATCTCTTTAATTTCAATCTCATCATCAATTCAGAATCATCATATCATATGTATAGACAGATATATAATATATATAATACACTTGGCTTGTTATCAAATCATTTTTTATAATTTGATTTGAATTATAAACCTGAAGATATAACAGCAATAGAATGATTTGTTATTCAGGTTCAATAAGTTTTATTTTTTATGAATTTCAAAACTGTCTTTGGTTCCATTCTCTAATTCAAAGTAAGGTGGAATGTAAGATTGAAGATTCTCACCATCTGTATTAGATTTCTCTTTAATTTAAATCTTTTCTAAATTCATAATATTTGAAATTAAATTTATTTTCAACCTAGAGCTTTTAAGACCCTTTAATGGTCTTCTGACGCACTTACAACTTTTAGAAAGTTGCAGAAATAAAGCTAGAAGTAGAAGAATTTGAAGCATTTTAACATTTTATTAGCAGATTTCACGCAACAATTGCCAAAAACTGAAACCCTTTGTATAATAACTGCCCATTTATGGAATCGTATTGCTTCAAATAAGCTTAGTTTAGTTATGTTTAGGCGCACATTACCTCAATTTGGGGCTCGTTTTCTTTGGTATAACTTTCATGTAGCCAATTTGGCCAACATTGCTGAATTAGAGCAAATTAATAAGTTGTCAGTGCTCGAGCTCTTTTCGCTGAAGGCATTTGCCTTGCTTTATATAAGCGCCGGTTCATATACCATGACGATGTTTTGACGCCGCATTTCCTCAACAAGAGCTCCAAAATCTGCGAAGGGAGCGCGTGACATGGTTGAACTTTTTGGGTCGACTCCGCCCGACTCGAAGCTGACAAAAAGCCGCCAGACTATATATTTGCTAATAACACTTGCCGCCCCTTTTTTTGCATTTTTGCTCTTTGTTCTGACCCCAGCTGCAGCTCCAGTTGCCGCCGGGCTCATCGATCAGTGGACTCCCAAAAGTGAAAATATTTTGAGACATAGTGTGTATCCCATGGATACACTTCGAGTTTTGCGGTTTTGCCTGTAACCACAACAAAATTCAAACATATTGCAAATGCCAAGGAAATGCCAATAAACCATAATTTGGGGGCTAGCTTTCCAATGCAATGCCAAGCAGACAGGCTTGGGGATTAGCCGTGGCAGTCTTCACATAATCGGCTTCATTTCATTAAAAAAAAAAATATGTTTAATCTGGCCTGAGGCGTTGGAGCTGAAACAGAAATTGTCTTCGGCTATGTGCCACATGTTGCCTTCAGTTTCCGGCGCAAAAAAAAACGAGCGAGTGCGCAAACAAATGAGCTTATGGCTCGGCTATTCCAATTTAAACACTTCCTCCCCCATATTAGAGCCCTTTTTGTCATGCACATCGATTCCGAAACGTGGCTCCGACAGTCAAGTTCAACGCCAGCAGCAAAAGCTATTGTTATTGTTGCTGACAAAACAAAAGAGTGAACCGCCTGCCCCACGGGCAGAGGGAGTGAGGGGGAGGGAGGAGGGGGAGCTGTATGCAGCTTCGTTGCGGTAGCTTGATTTTTGAGTCACAGCCCGGAGTCAGCCAAGAGTTCAGCTGGAGAGCCCGCATCCGCATCGCTTTCATGGTAATGCTCGTAGCCGTTGTCTCTGCCGGCAAATGGCCAACGCGTAGCTAACTGAAACATGGTCGAATCTAATCTCTGTTACACTTCGTCTCCTTTTCTAGGCTTTATTATTTGCATGTTCGACTAATCATTCAAATTCGCATTCGACTTTGGCCTCTTCGTCTTGGCGGAGTTGGCAAGTCCTTGGCTTCATATGACCTTCCCTTTGTCTTATATAAGGCCTTAAAATTGATGTGAACGCAGGTTGGATTTCTAATAAAAATACGAAACACATTTCGATTTCGAATTAACCATGTTCTATATGAACCATAATTCGAGTTCGAAGGAACGTTTTATAAAAGTTACTTATTGATGTTGGTCAAAGCTTTCTTCTTATTTATTTCTTTTAGTATTCTTAACATCCTATATTTTTGGATTGTATCGTCCAAGTCCTCCTAAGAAAATACGACAAGCAGGAGAGAAGGGCACCTTATATGCTAACAGGAATATTCCATCCCCCAACAAGAGTAAAGGAATACCTTGTCCAGTTCGCCCCTTTGTACTGCACGCCTTAGGCTCAGGCAGGAGTTCATTAAAACTTACCCTATGGTTATTGCTGTCTTGGCTAGGATATCAGGTATCCTTCGTTGCAATACGAAACCCAGCTGACGGTTATGCTAATTACATAACACCCCAATTCTGTCTGGTTTACTGCGAATTTTCATTTGTTTTCTTAGCCACTTTTCAATATGGACACATTTTAGAGAACCCTTCTCTTGTCTGCGGCTCAAGTACAGCCCACGACGTTTCTGGTAATTAGGCAGAAGTCAAAAACCCCACACAAACACTCGCACACAAATACCCGCACACAAATAGAGCACAATAAAAATGTGTCGCCGAAATTGGGCAATGCACGAAGCGGAACTCGAACTTGTCGCCGTCATACAGGGTACATGTTAAAGAAGCTTCACTTTAATGGCATTTCATGACGCCACGGGGGAACGTGCCGAAAACAAAAAGGTTCTAAGCGATCTTCACTTTTAATTGCCTTGCTGAACGCACGCACACAAACACAAACACACACACACACGAAAACACGATCAGCTAGGGATTGCACTTTCGAAACTGTAAACCGTTACGTGATGTCCGCCTGCCCGACGTAGTCGAAGTGTATTCCTCAACAGTCGCTCGTCGACTGACTGCAGGCCAGGCTCAAACGGTTGCGTCTGCCGGCTTGTGCTGTATGGGAATTGAGCCGTCGTCGTTGTCACCGACCAGCAACATGGCAACCCCCAGCGTCGGCGTCGGCGTTGGCGTCGACGTCGACGTCAGCAATAGCCGAACGAACGCTCGCTGCATTGTGCGGGCACGCGAGTAATTAGCAGAGCGTGAATTCCAGCGTCGTGAGCGAGCGCATTGCGTGTAGTTGGCTTGACGGCGGGGTAGGGGCGGCTGGCTGGGTTTGTTTACAATTCGCAAGTGCGGGAGAGCCCACTGGAAAGTTGGAAATGTTGGCGGTTGGAATATTGGATGTAAAATTCAAATTTTGAACCGAAGTGCGTTGGATTTATATAACTTTGAAGGTTAATTGTGTTCTTTTGCAAGTTGCGTGAAAAAATGATGGATTATAGAGATCAGCGAGTAATTAGACTAAAAAAAAACCATGACCCTCTTGTCATACATAAAGAAAGAATATTCTCAACGCACAATACATATTCCCCATTGATTTTCCGATCAAAAAATTATTGCAATTTTAAATTAATTGTATTTTGTAAATAATTGTTCTTTATTGTTGCATCTTTCACAGAACATGTCTATGTTTCGTGCACGCGAGACCAAGAAGAGGGCTAGTGTGGTGGTATCGGTGCCTCCGCTGGTGAAAAAGTCGAGCAAGAGCCGTTCCTTTCATTTTCGTTATTTAGAGCTTTGTCGCGCCAAGAACTTGACACCAGTGCCAGAAATACGCTCAAATCCCAATGCTACCACATTCCTGGACTTGTTGGGCGATAAGCTGGGCGTCAGTGAATGGCTACTGATCATCGAGGCACTGCACTACGATCTTGTGCTCCAGACCCTGGCGATACGCATGCGCCGCACCAATGGGAACAGTAAGTAGATGACGAAACGGAGTGTTGGGCCCGATATTGACTAATGGAACTTTTTCGACCAGATATCGTTTTACCCATCGACACGGAGAGCCGAGCACGACTCTTCCGTCAAAAGCCGGTTATATACACGCGCTTTATTTTTAACAGTCTTGTCGAGGCAATTGCCAATTGCGTAAAGCTTAACAAAAACCTAACCGTACTAAAGCTAGAGGGTCTGCCGCTGCAGGATAGCTATATAGAGTGCATTGCCCAGTCGCTTGCCTCGAATGACTGCCTCAAGGAGGTGAGCTTCCAGAAATCTTACATTGGGGACAAGGGCTGCGAGGCGGTTTGCGGCACCGTCAAATACCTGAATCATGTGGAAATCTTCAACGTTTCCGAATGCAATATAAGCCCAAAGGGTGCTGAATATGTCGCCGATATGATTAAGGTACGTTCAACCATAGATCGGACGCAGCTTAACCGAGCCTTTGATTGCAGATGCAAAAGATAACGCGTTTCTCGGAGGGCTGGGAGAAGTCGCTGCGCTATCGCAGTGTGGATGTCGATTCAATTTCAGGTCTACGCACAATTGGTCTGGCCAACAATCCAGACTTGGGCGACAACGGACTTCGGCCGATTGCTGAGGTGCTCAAGGAGGATGCATGGGTCAAGTGTAAGTAAGAACCGCTTAGATTGGGTGCGTCTCTGATGATTGGCATCAACAGCTATCGATGTGGAGAACTGCGGTCTCACCGATTGTGGCGCCAACATAATATTGGAGTGTCTCAGTCTGAATAATGCCATCACCGAGTTCAATGTACGACATAACGATGGCATCAGCAAGTTCCTAATGCGTCAGATACGCGATCATTTCGGCAAGGAGGACGAGGAAAAGATGAAGGAGCCTAAATATGATCTCAGCTGCATAAATGGGCTGCAGAGCTTGCCCAAGAGCCAGAAGTACAGCGTTTCCCAGCTGCTTGCGCACACCAAGACCCTGGAGGAGCAGCTATCCTTGGAGCGCACACTGCGCAAAAAGGCCGAGAAACTGAACGAGAAGCTCAACAACCAGCTTATTTCCATGGACCAGGGCACGCCGATGCCGCCGCCACCGTCCGAGAAAGTGGTTGACACCAATGCCCTGCCCAAGGGCTATGTCCTAGTGAAGAACGACTTGCTGCAATCCTTCACCAAAACGTAAATAGCCACGCACACTGTCCAAACAGCTCAAACCCATTCCATGTTGCATTCCAACCCACAGCTTTAAGAACGGGCCGCCCACGGCCAGCCAGTTCAATCAGTTGGTCAACAGCGCGGTCACCAGCTCCGATTCAACTCCACGCAGCGCCAATGCCACACTACGCAAACAGCAGCAAATGTATGAAATGGAGCAGGCTTCGCCTGAGTTACAGGTGCAAGGAGACGACGACGAGGGCGAGCAGATGCAAATGCGCCAGCAGCTGCCGGTGCGCAAGGTGCGCAGCGAAATGAAATATGTTGAAGCATTCTCCAAAGAAAATGCCAAAAAACGCGAGTCCAAATCTGATCATGAATTTGCCAATGAGCGCGATGTGAGTATAAACAAGTAGGAATGCAGTCGGGTCTGCCCGTTCGCAGGCAAAGATTTTTGGGTCGAACCTTAGAGAAGCTCACCAGCTGTAAATTGTGAGGTGGCAAGGGATACACACCACGAGTATACATGCCAAATCTCAGAAAGGCGCAATGTCTATAAAACCAAGATACCCTTTTGCCTTGGCGAACGAGTGTAGAAACCCATGAACTCATGGAAAATCTGTTAATATTAACTTGATTATTCCTGCAGTTCAAGCTTAATCCCAATGTGCAGTTTGAGGTGGACATTGGCGACGGTTGCCTGGTGAACGAGCAGCAAATGGAACGCAAACGCTACGAGGGCCGCGAAGATGGGGAATACTATGAGCAGGACATGGCACAGAAGCCCCATGGCAATGCCCAGTACGAAGGCGAGTACATTGGGGATGGGGTGCGCAACGACAATCGCAAGCATATTGCCAAGATCAAGAAACAGTATAGTGATATAGGCAATAGCCAGATGGCATTGTACATGGCCGAGCTGGAGCGTAAGATTAACAGCAAGTCCAGCAAGAAGCGTCACAAATCCAAGCAACAGTCCAATGAATCGAATCAGGGCCGTGAGGCTGTGAACGGCGATTATATGCAGGTCGAATCGTATATGGCGAATATGGAGGATTCGTCGGTGGATTCAGCCACGAATGGCTCAGACTCTGACGAAAATGAGAAGACGGAAGGCACGGCACGTGAACAGGCAGAGAGTGCCATGCAACCAATGAAGGTATTCATGAGACGCACAACACACTACGAGGAAGAGGAAGTGGAACTATGCGATGATAAAGACACTGAAGATCACATTGTTTCGCCACGTTCCGTCTATTTGGATATGCAGAGGAAAAAGAATGAAAATAATCACTAAATGCCAACCCGATGCCGCATCGACACCAACAACATAGAGAATAGGAAACTGGAAATTTTTGATGCGCCCTCATAGCAGTCCCGACAGCTCGAACAGAAGAAAAAACACAACAAAAAAGGAAAGAAACCAAGGAAACAATACAGGTTTGTTCCACAATCAGAGCATGGGGCCAAATTTGCAGTAACCCCTGGAGATTAAGTGTCACGCTAGTAGATGGGCACGCGTTGGTTGTGTATATAGAAATCTTAGTCCGATCGCGGTTTAGGTTATGCAGTTAATTAAAACAAAAAAAAATACATCAAAATATATATCAAGCGCCACAACTTGCGCGATTTTGTTATCAAGACGAAACAAAAATAAATACACTAAAAAAGCGCGGCAACAATAAACTCATGTAGCCCGAATTGAAATTGTTAATAAATCAGTATTTGCGCCTTCCTCAAATGATTTATTGGCCTTTTGATTTTGATTTTGGATCAGCAGATCCGGCTAACTGCGTTTACACTTCATCGTAAGGTTGCAAGCAAAAATTGTCATACAAGTTATATACTATATATGGTAATAATAATGGAATATTCTGTTTGTCAACATTTTGTAGTTACTACTGCTTAGATTTGCTCAAATATTCAAGATTATAATGATTGAGGATTAAATATGCTGCTTTTAATGTATATATGTATATTGATTAATTCCAATCCTGCATCAATGCATACGTCATTCACTACCAACGCTGCTGCTGCTGCATTTAGCCGCCGAAACCGTACAGAGTGCGTCCCTGGCGCTTCAAGGCGTAGACAACATCCATAGCAGTGACGGTCTTGCGCTTGGCGTGCTCAGTGTAAGTGACAGCATCACGGATGACGTTTTCCAAGAACACCTATTGGATGCATTGGTAACAGGGTATGTTAGTGTGTGTATTCTGAAATATATTGCAATAATGCTTGCCTTGAGCACACCGCGTGTCTCTTCATAGATCAAGCCGGAGATACGCTTAACTCCACCGCGACGAGCGAGGCGCCTGATAGCCGGCTTGGTAATACCCTGAATGTTATCGCGCAATACCTTACGATGGCGCTTAGCTCCTCCTTTGCCCAGTCCCTTGCCTCCCTTTCCACGTCCAGTCATATTGCTGATCAAGAGTTAGATTTACGCTGTGGTAAAACGAAAACGTTAGTGGCAAAGAAAAAGAAGTGCGCCAGAGCTGGCCAAATGAATCGCCATTTTTATATGTATGCATGACGCCATATTTAAAACGTATTTAGGGAACACACAAGTTTGTAAAAAATATATGCCTGCTTATACGCGTTGCGCACATCTAGTGTACTAAATAAGTTTCAAATTTTGCAATACTGTACATTTTGTTTTTAATTGTTTGTTTATTACAATTTGTTGTTGCGTTTTTTTGCGAAATGTGTGTACCCACCTTTGAAGAAATTTTCAAACAGTGTGCCTGTATTGTCAAAAGCGTAAAATCAGGCAAGAAGTGCCAACACGGTATACCAGTATTTATCATATTAACCATATAAATACCAAATAACGAGTCACCCTGTGCCAGGCCTTTATTTTACATACAGATTTTACGTAGAAACCATTTTAAACAAATATATATATATATATATAAATAATATGAATACTTAGATAATTTATTGCAAATGCTTAGCTGCCGGCAAGATTCATTACTGTGCGGTGCAGTTGTTGTTTCTGGTATTTAACAATTACTTGCATAATTTCCATTTTGGCATCAATTTTTAAGTTCTCATCCAGCTCAAAAACATCCTGAGCAATAGCCATGCCATAGTGAAAACTGGGAGTGCTTTGGGTATCATCTATCACAGGCTCTATAGCAATTGGTGTTGTTTCTTCGACTTCCGCCTCAATATCCTCCATTGGCACATTCAATTCCTCAATTGCAATTTGTTTAGCAGTTTTATTCATTGGCTGCACTTTTGGTGTTCGCTCGGAGGATGACTCCAAGGGACTGCCAGGTTCGGTTTTGTGGTCGTTGACAGCCTGGCTTTCTTCCAGTGCCCTGGTACTAACATTATCCGAGTCTTCCGAGTGCGTGCTGTCATATAGATTTTCCGCCTATCGATTGAATTTCGAATTTTGTATTGGGCTCAATTAATCTATTTCAAATAGTACTTACATCCACACTATTTTTATCGTACACAACAAAGGGCAGAAATTTCAGTTGTTGAAAGAATTTCCAACCCTCCAAACGCTTTATTTCCTCCGGCTGTGCTCCACGAGCTTTTGCATCGACAATTGCCTTCTGTTGTAGCCGGTAGTAGGATGCTAGATTAAGCCATTTCCTGGCCAACTCATTTGTATAGGCTCGAAATTTGAATCTTTTTTCCAGAGTCCATCTTAAGTTCTTCCAGAAATTGTGTTTTAAGTAACGTATACTATAATCTTTATGGGTCTTGTCCCACATATACGGTGTGTTGCGAATTGTCGTAATAACAAAAATAATCACCTCGTCCGACCAGTATGGTCTCGAATTATCGCAAACATTTGTCATTTTGAATGCTTAACAGTAATTTTCTTACGAGTGTCTGAAATTAATCCACTTTTCTTGCAAACGGCAGCTGTTTTTAATGTTTGGCTGATTAGAGAGCGAGACAGATATATGAACTTTGTCGGGAGTTAATTAAAATACCAACAACTGTCCATATGCGCATGAATACTTTCTTTAAAAATATACTAATAATATTTAAGTGTGACCGTTATGACATGTTCGTTTAAATTTCAAAGTCAAATTAGCATTTGAAAAATATATTGCTTTAATTCAAACGTTTTGTTGGGTTTATTATAATTTTAATTATGTGATGTATACAATATTAAATAAATGCTGACCATAAATTCCATAAGAGCATCTCGATTGGAGGTTTATTATATTAACTTATATATATTTATTGTGTTATATCAACTGTATTTATATGTGCCTTCATCTATATGTTCACTGTTGTGATTGCCATGGTTAATAATTGGTATTAAAATTAAATGGAAGTCTTAAAATAAAACACTTGTTTGTTATGATTTTATATGCAACAGCTGTTTTTTGGAATTGCTATTTTTGTCAAAATGACAATCGGATGCTTCGTGACTGATAGGTGGATTGACAAGTCGAGCATTAATATCGATAAGAAACTCAAGGTTTCAATATCGAAACCATATGTGCTAAATCGATAACTTAATAGTTTGGTATTTTTGTTAGAAAAAGTTTGGCATTTTGGTGATTGGTGCTGCTGGTCACATCACGCACAACACTGTAGCAGTCGAAAAAAAACCATTGAGTGTATCGGACGGTGTTTTAGTGCTAGTTTTTGAACCAAAACAAGTGTAAGTTAAGCAGAGCAGAAGTGAAAAGATCTAAATAAAATGCACATGCACGGTTATATAATATAATGAGTGCAGACACAACTGTGCCGCGTCTGCGTGTATCTATGCCGTGTGTGAAACGAAATACTTTGACCGCCTCCTCTGGCTGGCTGCTGCTGACCGACAGCAAAAAACGACCAACGCGTGTGCTGCTGCGGTTATTGCCGCCGCCCGCAAAGCAGAATTTGTCGCCGCCGTGAAACGAGCGCCATCGCAGCGCAGCTAGCTCCGCCGTGGCTGTATTATGAATATAAATATTTTACTATTGAACCGCGTGTCTGGAATTCAAAATAAACGCATACACATATATATATTTACAATCGTATTGTGCGTGTGCGTGAGCGTGGGTGTTTGTGTGTCTGTGTGTGCGTGTGCAGCGCATTGCGACCGCATTCTTTTTATCTCTTCATATCATTCGTCAAAAGGCGCAAGATGATTCATTTTTGATACACTCTGCTGCCGCTCAGCTGTCGGCGTCTGCCTTTCCACGCGCATCCTGCTCACACACACACACAGTCACACACGCGCACGCATGCATTGACGGATGTTACATATGTGTGTATATTCGCCTATTTGTTAAATTAACCGAAAAACACAGTCGCCAGTCCCGTTGTATTGCTCTTCTCAGCCGGCCGCCGTCGCCGCCGCCGCCCCACAAATCAATGTGCCTGCTTTCCATTTTCATGCGTGTTTCGGTTTCGGTTTCGGTGTCTGTTGCCTGTAATATTTTTCTGCCACCCCCCCCCCCCCTGCGTTTTCTGTTTGTTTTATTGATGCCTCTTCTTTGGCTTTTCCTCTGTTCGTTTTAACCGTTCTCGTCGCGAATTGTAAACAAAAAGTTGCAACCGGTTTTCTACTACTTTTCGTCTGCTTCTTCTTGTTATGGCCAATATTATTTTTGATATTATTGTTTTTGTTATTTATTTAAACGCGCTTTTGTTTTAATCGAGTCTTTTCCATTGTCTTTTCCTTCGAAATGCTAGCAATTTCAAATAATTCAACAGTTTTCAATTTTAACTTAAAGGTAAGCTATAAATATTAGCATTAGCACGTGTCGAGTGTAATAAATTTAAGTACTAGATTCCTTAAATAAGTTATAAATACAAATTGAATTTTATACAATAGTCTATCGCAAATTGAATATTTTCATTTGCTCTTATTCGCCAAAAAGTCTTGTATCTAGAAGTTATTTGTGTTTAAAAAGTGGAAGGAATTATACATAATTTTTTTTTTCTTTTTTAATGAATAATTTAAATCTTAATTTCTGAAAGTTTTAATTAGTTGTTAATGTACATCTTATTATCCCTATAGATTTAAATTGATGAAACTAAAAATTAGTTTTTTAAATTAATTTTGGAGTATTTATTTCAAAGTAATTAAACTCTCAGCATAGTCAAAATTTTATGTTCTCTTCTAAGACAAATTCATCCCTTTAATAAATATGTAAAGCTGTATAAGCTGTATATTGAATACCCTATTTCTATGAGGCTATTATTGGCTGGTTGCAATAAGTGTAACAAGTGCTAAATATCTTGATTAAATATGTCTTATCTGCTTTCACTTTCAAAGTAAGTTCTCAAGTTTTCAAAGAAATACCCTTTTAAAATGAATTGTATATTTTGCTAGCAAGTTTGCCACGCACTCAACGCAATTGCATTTTGCATTAAGCTCTCATCTACTTCAACCCAGGATTATTTATATACCATAAATGCTTTTGCTATATGGAAATATGTGAGTGTGCGTGTGTGCGTGTGCTGCCTTGTTGGACTTGAATGTTTCCAGAACAGAAAAACTAGACCATAAACATAAATGTCATTCACGACTGCCATTAGCGTAAAACAGCAGAAGAACGCGGCAAACATAAATCCAGGTCAAAAAAAAAAAAAAAAGAAAAGAAAATAAAACAAACAAAGAAAAGAGATGAAAACCCTGAGCCGATGAGCAAACTGCAGTCAAATGTGCACGCAAGAAACTGAAACAATTGGAAGGCATCTCTCAACAGGGAATCAAGCACAGAGGGCAGGGCAAAGTGTGAAGGGAAAAGCTTTTTGGCAATAGCGCAACAAAGTCAAAGATAAAAGACAACAAAAAAGTGACAAAAAGAAGAGCAAGAAATGAAACTGGATCAGCTTCAATTCGGAAACTGAGACTACACAATATGACATCATTTGGGGTGTAATAAATATGGAAATTTCGTGTCAATGCTGCGAATTGAACTGCATAGTATAATATATACTATACGTAGATGTACAAACTTCAAGCATATGCAAAACTGAAAACCCTTCGCAGATACGCAAAAGCCAATCAAGAATGCGCTTAAACCACTTGAGAATTATAAACACTGCCATGAACACAAACAATGGACGCTAGTCTGAAGAAGAAAGCAAGCTTTTTGGTCATGGTGAATCTTTTTGGTGGAAATGCAAAGAGAGATATGCATGCATATGCATTATCTGCATGCCCATAGTTTGTAGTTAATTGCCCAGACGAAGCTTCGGTTGATGAACTTGTGCAACAACAACAACAACAACAATAATAACAATTGCAACAACAACAATTGCAACTGCAATGAGAGTGGCAACTAAATGACAACAAGACAAGCAGCTGCATTATGCATGCTGTGGCTCAGGACAACGGCTCGTCACGTCTGATAACAATAACTAAGCACGAAAGTACAAGAGAGTGCGACTACTTTATATATATTTCATATACTATATATAGTATATATACACTGTAGTATCTCACGCTTCTCTTTATTTGCATTTAAACT